TAGGGAATTGTTTTGATTGTGACGAGTGGGTCGGAGAGTATGTCTGTCTGCCTTTTAAAGATATCGCCGGTAATTTATTTTTGAATAAAATGTTTACCTTAAGAATAAATCATAAATTCAAGTATTTTGGCTCTTTTTTTGTTTGTTCTGTTCAGTTTCAGTTTTGCTTATTTTATTTTTTTTAAAAAGACCAGTTTATGTGAATGAAATTTCCAAAAGCAGTTAACCACTTGAGTTTTATATTTGTTTTCTTACTTGCACTTTTTTTTTTTTGCATATTATCACGATCCACGTGTCATGTCTCCAAACAAATTTTGTCTACTGCACACATCAAAAGCACTTTATCTAACAACGCATCACAATTGTTTTAAAGGAGCAGTTTGTAGGATTCACTTTCAATTCAATTCAATTTTATTTATAAAGCCCAATATTACAAATCACAATTTGCCTCACAGGGCTTTACAGCATACGACATCCCTCTGTCCTTATGACCCTCGCAGCGGATAAGGAAAAACTCCCCAAAAAACCCCTTTAACGGGGGAAAAAAAAACGGTAGAAACCTCAGGAAGAGCAACTGAGGAGGGATCCCTCTTCCAGGACGGACAGACGTGCAATAGATGTCATACAGGACAGATCAGCATAATAAATTAACAGTAATCCGTATGACACAATGAGACAGAGAGAGAGAGAGATGCAGGTAATGACAGTAGCTTACAACAACATAATTAAGGATTAAGTTGTGTCTTGTGAGATTGCGGATCACAACCAGCTGTAATTTTATTGTATGTCATCAAAACTCACGAAAAAATGTCATAGTACAGTTTGTCGTCAAAAATCATGAAAAAACATCATAGTATAGTATGTCGTCAGAAATCACTAAAAAACATCATAGTACAGTATGTCGTCAAATTATGAAAAAATGTCACAGTATATATGTTGTCAAAAATCATGAAAAAAACGTCATAGTATAGTATGTCATCAAAAATGAAAAAAATGTCATAGTATAGTATGGCGTCAACAATCCTAAAAATATTTCATAGTATAGTATGTCATCAAAAATAGCAAAAAAAGGTCATAGTATAGTATAGTATGTCGTCAGAAATCATGAAAAAATGTCAGTATAGTATGGCGTCAAATCATGAAAAACGTCATAGTAAAGTGTCTCGTCATAAATGGCAAAAAAAAGGTCATAGTATAGTATCTCGTCAAAAATCATGAAAAAAATGACAGTATAGTATGTCGTCAAAAATTATGAAAAAAATGTCATAGCATCATGTGTCGTCAAAAATCATGAAAAAACATTACAGTATAGTATGTCGTCAAAAATCATGAAAAAATGTCAAAGTATAGTATGTCATCAAAAATCATAAAAATATGTCATAGTATAGTGTGTCGTCAAAAATCATGAAAAAAATGTCATAGTATGTCGTCAAAAATACCAAAAAAAACGTCATAGTATAGCATGTCATCAAAAATCATGAAAAAATGTCAAGGTATAGTATGTCATCAAAAATCAGAAAAAATATGTCATAGTATAGTATGTCATCAAAAATACAAAAAAACCCGTCATAGTATAGCATGTCATCAAAAATCATGAAAAAATGTCAAGGTATAGTATGTCATCAAAAATCCCCAAAAAACGTCATAGTATAGTATGCCGTCAAAAATCCCCAAAAAACGTCATAGTATAGTCAAAAATCATGAAAAACGTCATAGTGTAGTATTTTGTCAAAAATCATGAACGTCATTGTATAGCATGTCATCAAAAATCATAAAGATATGTCATAGTATAGTATGTCGTCAAAAATAGCAAAAAAGTCATAGCATAGCATGTCGTCAAAAATCATGAAAAAAATGTCACAGTATAGTATGTCGTCAAAAATCATAAAAATATTTCATAGTAAAGTACGTCATCAAAAATAGAAAAAAAAAATGTCATACTACAGTATGTCATCAAAAATCATGAAAAAATGTCACAGTATAGTTAGTCTGAGTGGGGGGAAATTCGCTACATAGATCAGCCTCTCATTGGGCGGAACGAGCCACCCGCTGAAGTCACGCCCTACCACCTCCGGTTGTCATAGTCGACACACGTCCTTTACTAACTTTTGCAGTGTTTGATCTTGCGGGGATGTAGCCATTTTTCTGCCATGGTTCCCGTCCTGTAGGCGATATTTTTGTGGGCGTGTTACACCAAAACCTGTTTCCCCCCGGCAATATTTTTGCAAGCGCACTGTTGCTGTGGCACCGCCAAGAACGATTGTGATTGGCTGAAAGAAATAAAATCTTAAAGTGAGAGTCGGCGCAGCCAGACCTTTCTTTTCTTGAGAAAGGTCTGGTGAGCGAGACTACAGTATAGTCGTCAAAAATCCTAAAAATATGTCATAGTATAGTATGGCATCAAAAATCATAAAAAACGTCATAGTATAGCATGTCATCAAAAATCATGAAAAAATGTCACAGTATAGCATGTCGTCAAAAATAGCAAAAAAAACGTCATAGCATAGCATGTCATCAAAAATCATGAAAAAATGTCACAGTATAGCATGTCGTCAAAAATCATAAAAATATGTCATAGTATAGTATGTCATGTCGTCAACAATCATGAAAAACGTCATAGTATATAGTATGTTGTCAAAAATAGCGAAAAAAAGTCAGTATAGTATGTCATCAAAGATCATAAAAAAAACGTCATAGTATAGCATGTCTTCAAAAATCATGACAAAACGTCATAGTATAGTATGTCGTCAAAAATCACCAAAAACGTCATAGTATAGTATCTCGTCAAAAATCATGAAAAACGTCATAGTATAGTATTTTGTCAAAAATCATGAAAAACGTCATAGTATGGCATGTCGTCAAAAATCATAAAAATATGTCATAGTATAGTATTTTGTCAAAAATCATGAAAAAAACATCATAGTATGGCATGTTGTCAAAAATCATAAAAATATGTCATAGTATAGTATTTTGTCAAAAATCATGAAAAAAACGTCATAGTATAGTATTTTGTCAAAAATCATGAAAAACGTCATAGTATGGCATGTCGTCAAAAATCATAAAAATATGTCATAGTATAGTATGTCGTCAAAAATCATGAAAAAAACGTCATAGTATGGCATGTCGTCAAAAATCATAAAAATATGTCATAGTATAGTATGTCGTCAAAAATCATAAAGATATGTCATAGTATAGCACGTCGTCAAAAATAGCAAAAAAAAACGTCATAGAATAGTATGTCCTTAAAAATCATGAAAAAATGTCACAGTATAGTATGTTGTCAAAAATCATAAAAATATGTCATAGTATAGTATGTTGTCAAAAATCATAAAAATATGTCATAGTATAGTATGTTGTCAAAAATAGCAAAAAAAAGTTATAGTATAGTATGTCGTCAAAAATCATGAAAAAACGTCATAGTATAGTATGTCGTCAACAATTCCTCTACAGAACAGACTGACCTCATAATTCAAACCACTAAAACCACAGAATTAAGAGGTTTCACGTTTTAAAATCATCAGGTTTTACTGTTGTTACTATGGCCGAGGCGAAAATATCCTGTCTAGAGCTTTGTGTTTAGTTTGTCCAGTCTGGGCTACTAAAGAAACATGGCCTCTCCGTGGACAAGGACCCTCTCCCTATGTAGGCCAGAGGCCGGTACTATGAAGCCAGTTCAACTTACCCAGGATATCTTCTCGTTATCTGGTTTGATTAACCCTGACATTGTCTGTCTGGATAATCGGTACTACAAAGCTGGTTATCATCTAGTTCAGTCAACTCTGGGTTTTCCTATCCAGCCATGAGTGCATTCATGTTAAAGAGGTGGGGGCTGTAACTGGTGACATCATCAGATCCATGAATGAAGGAGGCTGCTTCATATCATTTGAGATGAAACTGCACTGAAAGTGTCTGCGACATTAAAATGTCAGTGGTGCTGGATGTTAACAATAATCTGTAACATTAAAATGGAAAATCAGCCAAGACTCAAATGATGTGTAGGTATCACCAGGCTATAGGTGACATCAGTATATTTTGCTATTTAGTCAGAAGATGACAAAACCACTCTGAATATGTCACATAAGACATTTAGAGTAACACCACACTGTTTCTGCTACTTAAGTAAAGAGTGGAAAAGTAGTTAATGACTGATGAGGTCTATCTGACCAACTTTATAATAAGGGGAGCTAATTAACAGTATGTGGGTGGGTTTTTTTTTAGTTAACTGTTAAGTTACCTCGCTAACTTCAAATCCTGCTTCGTAGTGCAGGCCTCTGCTCATTCTAAAGTAACCACAACTCAATTATTTGTATTTTTAGGCAACAGTAAACTTAAGAAAATATACTTACTATATATACTTACTATATTCCATTTCTGCCCATATATCCCCCTAAATCCTACACACTGGACCTTTAATGTGAACCAAAGGACCAAAAGCAATTTAACATTTCAGTTTTATAGTTTTTTCTCTTACACATTTTTCTTGTATTTAAATAAACACACATTCCTCTTGTGTCATATCTCTAAACACATTTCATCTGCAGCACAAATCAATACCACTGTTTGTCAAACACAAGCATCACACATCTTGGCACAATTATTTATTGAGGTTTAAAGAAATGTGTAAGCATTTAGACTTTCATGGGAAATCTGTTTCACAATCTTATATTCTTACATTTCAGAGCAGTAACAGAAGTAGAGCTCTCCCTGAGCAGAGTTTAGAGTTGCTCAATCAGCAGCTAAACTGTTTCATAAAGGTCACTAAGAAGGTGCCAAGACAGGCTGCATTTTTCTGTGACTGAGGCGTTTTCATGTGAACGACACTCAGTCACATGCAGATGCAGCACAAGGGAAAGATCAGCAGGTTATACTGTACATTCAGTTATTTAAGCTCTTTTTGTATCGTCAGTTTTACTAAAAAGTACTTCAGCTACATTTCTTCATTTCAGCTGCTGAGGTGTCGAGCAGTGTGTTTCCACAAATGACCAGCAGGTGGAGGCAGATTCTTAAAAATACAGTTTTATTTCATCACTGAACAGTTTGAAGCTGAAATATAAGTAACATTTTAATGGTCCGTGACTCCCATACCAACCAATACACAAAGTGCAGAAGACAGGACCAACGCTGTGCTTTTAAACAAACAGGTAGTTAGGATGTGCACAGCTGGTGTTAATAATAACAATAATAATAATAACAATAATGATGTGTAAAGCAGACTTAAAAAACAAAAAATGGCCACAAAAATCTAACACTGACAGGCACCGGGGCCTTTCATTAATCTCCTCCCCATTCATAAACAAGAAAAACATACTAAAAACTACCTGTGATATAAAACTAATCCTCCACGAGAACACGTTTAAATGAGAAATGTCACAGGCTCCACAGAGCCAATGATTAAAAAAAGTCTCCTAATCTCACACACAAATGGCACATTTCGTGTCCCTGACAGCTGCTTCTTTTTGCTGCGTTCAAAAAAATACATTGTGATAAAATCTGCTTATCAGGAAGACACATTAACTGTAAAAACTTCAACGTGTGGGCTGAAAATGAGACCTCGGTTTCTGTTTGCTGAAGTCAAACTGAAGGACATTTTCAGATAAACCAAACAGACCCACGTTGGTACAACTTCATCTAAAACTACAAACACACACCACTCTAAGACAACAAATATTCTGCGGTTAGTGGCCCAGATTATTGATTAAAACCTCGTCTTTAGGATTCAGTCCGTCCTTACATTATTTGAAAATTTACCAATTTGTCATGAGGACATTACAAAGTGACCAAGAGTCGACACTGAATGCAGGGCGAGGGAGCGAATCGGTTTACACACGGCACATTTATCGGCCATCTGATGGATCGTGACCTCCCTTCAAAGTTCATCAGTTTCGCCTGTTTCACTTAACACTGTCTGTACACTAATGACTGTTGAAAAGCTTTGAAATTCAATAAAGAGTTTAAAAAAAAAAAGTTCATCAGTTTCCCATGTTGTCGTCACGTATTTGGTTTGATCAGAGTTAAAGAGCTGCAGCAGTCCAGACTCAAGTCATTAAAAAAACAAAACATGTCTATTTAACTGATGATTAAATTTAGTGGTTAATATAGAGGAGCTGAACACCAGAGTCTAAGAGCCTCATTAATAAAAATGTGTTAAGACTTTATTTACACACCGTCATTAACTTATGATTTCCAAACAATGTGACTGTTTCAAATTAAGTGTAAGAATTTTACATAACATAAAAACATCTCTGCATTTTAACATTTTATCATCTCTTTTGTACCATTTAGTGAAAAAGAACGTTTTATAAGTGAGGCTCTGAGCTCCGGTGTGTTCGGCCGTCTTCATTAACACTGCCTGGATCAGAATTTATGATATTTGGGGGGAAAAAATGCGCCTTGAAGAATTTCTGAAGTCCACTACAACTGATTTTAAACACTTTTGGTTTCGAGTTGCTCGTCCAGTTGCTCTCTGCACCTTTCAATTCATCTCAGAGAAACAACCTGTTTGATCAATGGCATCGAGTTCAGACACTGCGCTGCTGCAGTTTGGAGGAAAACAAATATTCAGTAACATGTTTCAGCTTATATTGTTGCCGAGACGGCTGGATGAGACGAGTCTCGACTGTACATCTGAGAAGACTGAAGTCCTCTAGTTTTCTGTGCTGTCTCTGCTCAGTCAGAGATTGTTGTAGAGAAGCGAGGTTCTCCCATGACGGGTGAAGACAGGCAGAGTGTTGGAGGACCGGGTCGTCTAGTCTACTGAAGGGTCTACTGGAGTTTTAGATCATGGCCCGGAAGGCAAATGAGACTGCGGCGCCCAGCGCCAAGCCGAGGGACAAGAAGAAGGCCATGATGGCCCCTGCCGTCTCCGCCTCATGCGGTGCCACCTTCCTGTACAGAGACAACAGAGGGACAAAATTCATTAGGAAGGAGTGGTTTAACATTATGCACAATGGTGTTAGATAAGCATTATTGCATTATTTTTATTTAATGCACATTTTCATTTCTCTCTTCTTTTATTGGTTTAAATTTACACACTTCCATTTCATACTCTTATTCTTACTCATTATAATTCTCTATTCTTTACATCGGAGCGACTGTAACAAAACAAACACTGACTTAATTTGAGTACAAAGGAGTTGATAGGAGTGATTTTGAGCTTTAAAGAGACTCAGCCTAATGTTTTTCTTTATGCTAAGCTAGGCTAATCTCCTCCAGGCTCCAGACCAACACTTGACAGAGTACAAATTCAGACTGTGCCTCTGCACTCAATATTTGTCCATCATGAACACAAATTGTTAACAGATGCAGTAGAACCAGAGAAAGAAGAGCGATATCGTCTTTTTTATTCCACACATTTTTCGTCTCTTGTCAAAGCCCAGCACCTACATTACCCACAAAGCAAATCCACAGCCAATAGCTCAGAGATTAGGGTGTGTGCCAAGAAAGTTTTTACACAACTTGTTCCCGAGTTCCCCTTTAATGCACAGACATGAAACTGTGGAAAACAAATAGGCCTGAAGCTTCCACTGAGTCATCTGCCAAGTTAACATTCATCAGTCTTAGTGTTTCCTCACGGTGTGTGGTCTGTGTGTGTGTGCAGCTCTTACTTGGGTCCGAAGCACATGCAGAGACTGGCCAGGTATCCGTTGGAGAAGGAGAAGAAGATCATGAAGATGATGTACCAGGCGTCGTGGGCGAACAGCACAGGGAGGTAGTGACGAGGCTGAACGTTACACAGCATGAAGAGGGGGACGAAGACGACCCGCAGGCCCACCAGGACAGGAAGCCAAATACTGTCTTTACCCGGCTGGAGAGAGAGATCACAGCAGCGACATCAGCCACAGAGACAGAAATGGTTCAGTAATGACACTGTAATATACTTATGGGTGTGGAAAACACTTGTTCAAAGGCACATCAGATCAGATCAAAGGACCTGTAGTCACGAAGCACCTCAGTGGAAACTGTCTGGATTCTGATCTGTGTCTTCTAATGACGGGAAACAAAGTTACGTGATCCCGGAGCAGCTGACTCCTATTATCTGCACTCATGCCAAGAAGCTGCGTTCACAGTGCAGGTCAGGCCAGGGTAAGAAACTGTACTCAGTTTATACAGAATGAATTGATTCAATTTGATTATTTCCGCTGGATCGCAGGAAATTAAACATCTGACAGAGGAAAAAACTTTCACACTGAAGCCAAATGGGACATGGCTAACTATGTGGTGAATAAAACACCATATAGCCGGAGATGCAATGGATCTAAAATAATCGATTAAAGCTTGTAGCAGAGAAGAAATGCCATCAAGGCAGCAGACATGCTGCCCAGCTGTGGAGCAGCACTGAAGGTTTCTTAGCAGTTCAATAGCCTCCAAACTGCCTCATTCCTCCAGATGACCATGTGAGAGAAGCGGGAGCAAACCTTTAAAAACACCGTCACCCTTCACTGACACTCAAAACCACTTCCTTTACACAGCGCACACACACACACACACGTACACACACACGCCTTTTTCCAAAATAAATGGATCTTAGCAACAAAACTCGTCTCCTTTATTTTCTCCCCAAACTCTGAGCAGCCGATGTTTTCCCCGTCATGACTCAGTGATTTATCACTGTGTAAACATTTTATGCAGCCAAAGGCTTCCATTAAAGTGTCAACAAGGGTGTCTGTTGTCCACAGTGCCATTCGCACGCCAGACAACAGCAGATCACACTAAATATTTTGATGCAGTCATTTTAAATGGGCTCTGTGAGGCACACACATTTATAAACTACAGCGCTGTTTCTCAAATGATTTGTTAAAGTATGAGGCAGCGAAGTTTAAGCACTGGTCACTGTCATTACTGCAGACTGGTACATTTTGAAATAAGCTCCAGCTAACTGTAGGTCCTGCTGAAACTACCAGACAGGTGTGAAACCTGAACAGATCCTCTAAACCTGTAGGGAACTTCACAGTAAAATACAACCACCTGTGATGTCATCGAGCCCTGAACCCACAGAGGAAGCCCAAACCTCCAGAGAAGGTTAGAGAGGTCGAGCCCTGTCTGTAAAACATGTTATTTGTGTCCTAAGTGTTATTACTGACCCACATACAGACGGCCGTCAGACTCCTGCCAGCCCAGTCCATCAAGTTGAAGAGGAGGAAACATGATACGGGGATGAAGTAAGTTTCTGAGAAGGGAGCAAAACAAACAAACTGCTGTTAACAACAACAAGACTGCAAATGTCTTTGCTTAACAAAAAAACCCTTAACTTCTGCGGGCTTTGTCCTTCATGGGGGTTTTTTGTTTGGACCCACAGCAGTGACTATGTATTCCAGAGTCACAGCACAGAAAGAATCAAATCATCATTACGAAACATCTCAAACTAATTTGGTGTTTTTTAATCCTTTTGTTGCCATGACTCGAGCTGTGTGAATCCGAGCAGACAACAGTTTCCTGTGCCCAATGACGCTGAGCGCTGCAAATGTTTCAGACAGGGTGTCTACAGGGATCAGACAGTTGAATTTAAAGCTTTTCAAGACCCATTTAAGACACCCTTTAACCAAATTTAGGACAGATCTTGTCTGTCATGTTTTACTGTACTTATTTAAGCATCACAAGTAAGCATTGCAGGTAAGTAGTATATAGCTGGTCTTGTGCAGAGGTAAGAGTCATGTAGGAATATGGTTATCAGAGTGAGTTAGGGCGATCTACATTTTGCCAACAGGTAAGTGCAAGTCTGAAGTAAAGTGACAGTACTACAGTTTTTTAAAGATTTGTAACATAGATAAGCTTCACTCATTTTCACAAAAAGAAATTAGAAGTTAAGACCTCACAAAAATTTTAAGACTATTTAATGACTTCTAAGGCCTTATTGTTGTAACATTAAATTTAAGACATTTTAAGGACCTGTAGACAACCTGAAATTGTTTCAAATTAACAGAATGTTTTGGAAGTGTTTTATTTTTTAGATATTTTTCTAAACATGTTCATTAATATCTCATAAAAAGGTCTAACTTTACTCAAAATACACTCCTTCTGCTACTAGTTTAAATCTTGCACTGCGCTGAATAGATGTCTAACAGCTGAAATGTTACTATTATCACATGATGCATGTTGGTGCATGCAGCTAGTAGCAGCCAGAATGTCTACTACTCTACCACTTTACTCTACTAGCGAGTAAAGTTAGCAAGCACAAGCAGCTTGCTCATCTACACATGCTTTAGCAGTGTGTGTGTAGTAATGTCTGACTTTCAAAAAACAAATATAATGCATGACTCAGGAGAAGAATACTTGAGCAACGCTGGATGTAGACTCTGCAACAAAGCATTTGATGTTGACAGCATGGGGGAGCGGGTCTGGTCAGCGATGCTAAAGGGAAGAAGTTATCAAGACAGCCAAAAGGCCTCTCAACAGATTTCCAGTGTCGGCAGATATTTCACGCCTGCCATTGCTCGGCCAGATAATGTTATGACACTATATTCTATGTCAAAGTTTTGCTGTAGTACTAGGGCAAAGCACCCTGGAGTGAGAGCCTCATTACTGCACCCTGTTGGCTATACAGGCCTACCTATTTAAATCTGCTAAACTATAGTCACATTAATGGAGCAAAATATTATGGAAAAGTTCATTGATAAAATTGTCTGGGAAAGTAAAAACAAAAAAGTCCGCACACCAAGTAGCTCCCGTTTAGAAGGATTTTAACGCAGAGTGACGTTTTGAGGCACACGGCCTTTCGTCAGACTGGTCCAGCACCCGCTCCGTTAGTCGTTTGGATGTGGGAGCGTTTTGTACCGTTTTTAAAAATGTGTGGGTACCCTGATTCTTGATACTAACACTAACTTCAGTTTTTCTACTGGCTGCTCTCATGTTCATAAATAGAGCGTTGTATTTTGCATTTTCAATTTAAACTACACAGATCTGCAGTGACAGCAACAGTAGAAGAGATGGTACAATATTCAGCATCAGGAACAGAAATAAATAGGAAAATTATGTGAATAAGTTTGAACTGTGTCTTTTGAAATAGGAAGATATTCCTGCCCTGTGAAGCACCCAATCTTGCGGTCTGATGTCAGGGGTTAAAATTTTCCCATCCTCTTGATGGGAAATGAAATAAAAACAAACAAGTTTTAGGAACAAAGCTTTAAACACGGACATAATTTGGCAGCCATTCCTCTTTCAGATGTCACATCATCAAAGTTATTGGCTCCCCAGCTGCTTGAACAGTGTATGCACTGTCAGAAATGAGACTCACCCCAGGCGCCTCCATCTGCTACTGTTGACTTGACCTCCACTGTTACGGCTGGGAATGTTCCAATGGTGACGGTGAAGATGAAGCACACTGACAGAGCCATCACCCAGATCTGATTAGATAACACAAGATGAACATAATCAATATTATGTAACCAGTATAATATCTGTCATACAGGTAGAGGATGGAAAATGCACAAAGAGGTCACCAGAATGACACTGGTTATCTCTGGCTCACAGCAGAGGTTTGCTGCCTCTTTATCTGCACATACAGCACTTGATTTGTGTTCATGTGTCACAATGTGAGAAAGTGACTTCACCTGTTTGAAGATGTTTAACACAGACACGGTGGGTTTGGCCTCGTCCTCCACCAGACTCACCACTGGCCGCTTCTCTCCCGCACCGTCTGAGAAACAAACAGCTCTCTGTCATTACGTTGGTCAAGTGACACATCGCAGTTAAGACCATCATTCCCACATTGGAGTGGATGTCCACACAAGATTTCAATTGTTATGTAACATCGGGTTCCCATTACGCTCTCACACACTAGTAATTAACGCCACACACTCACACTGGTCGAGTTGAAGCCAAAACACAAATATTTTCAGTGGGTTTGGCTTCCGTGGTCAGTGTGCAGTAAAAAGAGAGACACTAAGGCAACAGAGCAACCAGAAATACTCCACATGGCACGTCTGACACAAAGTGACCCGTTATGATAGTGTCATATTATAATGATAGCTTTTTTTCCTGAGGTAACAGTCATAGTAATTTTCTGCATAGACAACATGAGCTGACTGTTGAAGCACTTTCAAAGCTCGGATGGACATGAAACTTTCATCCAGCTAAAGATTACCAACAACAGAAACCTGATAATGTTCAGCAGATAAAAATCATTAAAAACCATCAAACACACCAAAAAAAAAAAAAAAAGCGAGAAAAAGGTGAAAAAACACACAACTGATGGCCGTAACATTAACCTGTGGTGTTATTAAGTTATCTGACCAACTTGCATCTTTGTTGAGGGTGTAATTCAAAGAATATCTGAGCAGGCTCGTCAGCATACTGTATTAGGGCTGCTTGATTACATAATCAATTAATGTGGTCAATAGTGAGATCACAGTAATTTAACACAATTAGTCATTGACCAGCTCTCTTTCCTGTGTTTTCGCTTGAGGGGAACTGAGCATGTCACAGTCTGGCTGAGAGCAGAGTCCTGATTGTGTCCGATTTTCAAGACCCGCTCCTGATCCGGAACTGTGACGTACAATACTGCACCCGACCTGCCACCCACACAATCGACCAATCAGTTCCGCAATCTGATCCGACCCGCTGACAAAAGATCTGCAGCCCAACCAAAAACCACAAATCCTATAATAACCATGTGCAGTTCAAATAACTTGGTTAGGCAGTGATCATTTTTTGACATTTCATACATGTGAAACTAAGCTAATTATTGGCTTATTCTCATAATCATGCGCAGCACATGTCTACAGTTTACGTGCCTGTTAGTAACGCACCTGATTGAAGCAGCTGTCATATCCCAGCTGGTGCAGAAGAGAGCCGACACACAAAGTCACCAGTCATTACATATAACATTAAATTACTCTCATTTTATTTTAGCATATTTATCATCTAACATCTGCAGTCTGTCGCATGTTCTTATTTTCATACAAAACAAACCCAGGAATTAAAGTTAAATAATAAAAGACAAACCATCACCCGCTGGGTACCCGATCTGATGCAGGGCTCTACCTGAGAGTGAGTTCGGGCTTTTATTGTGGCGAAAAGGTGCACAGGATTTATTTATCACACGACGAAACAAGAGCATCGTGTGAAACAGAATTCGGAGCAATGACCCTTTTATCCAGATCTGTGATTAACATCCGGTGGGTCGTGGGTCCATTCTGATTGGACCACAGGTGACTCACAAGTGTGTCAAGTTTGTAAAAACACACTTTATTTTTACGTGCAGTACATTTCCAGCAAAAAGCTTTTATTTTAAAGTCCTGTTTCCTGCTATAAAGTGAGTGACTTACGGACAGCTACTTGACAGAAACCTTAAACTAGCTCAACAACATGGCCGAAAGTAAGTATGACGCTGATTGTATTAAACTCTGTGGACCTCGAACTAATGACTAAGGAGAAATTTGGACCCCAGGGCTGGACCAGTTGGGAACCACTGATCTGGATTATCTTGTTTTCATAATTGGAAGTCAAAATCATGGCTGAAAATAAAATTTGATCAATTACACAGCCCTGTACTGTTTGTACCTTTATTGAGTAAGTCCATCTTGTTCTCCGCGTCAGCAGAGGGTCTGGACCCATTACTCTCCATGTAGTACTGGAAAAACTCCTGTTGACAAAAAACACGTAATGAGGCATTTCCACTGGGCTGAGGAGAAAGGATACAGGAAGCACATCATGTTCCTGAGGTGCTGTAAATTATCAGCTGTGTTATCGAACATCACAGACTGTAGAGTTTGGAGTAATAGCAAATAAAAAGACTGGACTTCATTTAGGAATGATCTAAAAGCATTAAGCACATTTACAAATCATCGTCCAAAAAGGTGCAAAGTTATTGAGAGCAAATACATCTGAAAGTAGTTTTAAACAAACACCTCATGATGAAAACAAAAAAACTCTGTAAAACAATGTCTGTTTTAGCGAAGATGAGATCTTACCATCCTGGGCAGAGCGAGGTAGGACATGATGGCCAACAGAATAACAACACAGGCTGTGATGAAGTAACCAAAGGCGCTGTCCTGCAGGGCCGATCCACCTTCGGACCAAGACGGGACACAGAGAATCATTAGTGTTGTTATCCTAAGTATTGATTTAAGTCAGCAGGTTTTCATAGCTTCAGGCAAATGTCCTCCAAAATGTCTTCCAGTCAGTATTCCTCTTTTCAAATTACATTTCAAACTCCAGTTGTTGGATTATGTCGTTTCACTCTGGCTATAACTAATGATTATTTTCATTTATTAATATGAGAAGCTGGAACCAGGAAATGTTTGCCTTTTTTCCTTGGTAAATAACCTAAACACAAAGTGGTTATCAAAAATAGTTGCAAAGTATTTTTTGTTGCCCAACTAATCGATTAATTAACTAATAATGTGAGCTCTAAATTGCAGTGTATCTGAAGACTTCAAGGAACAAGCTACAGCCTCAAACATGACCATCAGTTGGGACAAAAAAACTCCTGCAGTCTAAGCAATAACTAAACATTATAAGTATTTATTGTGGGAAACATCATCTGTGCAAATACAAACATCAACACTGCAGCACTCTTGGACGAGCTGCTTTTAAAAAACTTGTCTCTGCATGTAAAGTATGTTGTAATTTCTAATGGCAAACTAATGGTGAACCATTCTCACATCACATCCCATAATTCACCCTCACAGCCTCATCAGTTAGTGTTAGTATGGTCAGATGGACTGAGAAGAAGAGCTTTGTCAAATTCACTGCAGCTTGCTGTAGTTGGAAAGCAAAGCAAAGAAACGGTATGGTAAGAGACTGATACAAAGCTTGATGTGATCTAACTGGTAACTGCTAACCTGCATTGTCAGGTCTGAGTCAGCACCAAGATTATTATGGGGATTATTATTATCATTACAGGGATGTCTACATGACTGTGAGTCAAAGGCCTTCACAAAGTGTTGTTTGTACTGTAATACCGATTCTTCTCAAATCTTGCCTCTGACAAATACTTCCCCATATTATAGTCACCAAAAAACTAAAACTAATACAGAAACCGATGAAAACTAAACATTCTTAAACAATAAAAACTGAAGTAAAACCCACTCAGGAAACTTAATGAAACTAAACTGCGGTGGAAGCAAAATTGAAAATGAAATAAAAATGGTAAGTAATGAAAAGAAAAACAATATTTCTGGTCAACACAGAGAAATCTGACAAGAAATGATCCTGAGTGCCAAATGGCGTCCAAGCAGCTTCCTGTGTTCATAATTCTGTCTGGGAAATCAAACTCAAAGAGCAGCCAGCACAAGTTATCGTTAATGACCCAACACTTGGCTGACCTTTTACCAAAACTACATTCATCACGTAACACATTTAATATGGAGCGATATTTGGGTGTGAATGTGTGTTTCACACAGCTACAAAGTTTATCTTTTTGTCGCTTCTTTATTAAAAGCAAGGATTACAAACTGTGCAAAGTCTTGTCTCTAGAAAGGTTATTGCAAGTAGACAGGGAATGTGCAGTTTTGTGCAACAAACCTTTCAACTTGTGCACCAGAGTTACACCTCCTAAAGAGTTAATGCACAGCACTGGTAGGTGTGTTGTGCTGTGATGTGCTGTGTTGTTTTGTCCACCTCTTGTGTATCTTTATGTCGAATGACAGACAAAGTGTGTGTGAGACATACTGGCCAGTGCGCAGATCATGGAGAAAGCAGCGAAGGTGCCAGCCAGCCCCTGTCCGCTCATGATAGGAGTGGTGTAAGAGGCAGGCAGGATCCCTGCCAGCCCGAACAGACTGCCCTGAAGAATCGCCCCGAACGCTGGGAACAAGACAAGGATGTTTAAGAGTTAGTATGCTTTACAAAGTCACTGTGACACAAGAGAAAAACACACAACTACAGAAAAAGACAGGCCCATAAAAACTGAAATGCTGTCACAAACAGAGAGATGACACCATTCTGAAAACAACATGGAGCAAATTAATTGTTTTGCATAACTGTTATATAACTATTTTCTTCACCTCACTTTACATAAAGTTGTTGCCAACAACGTGTTTCATACAAACTTGAATCACACTTAGGATTATAACCTCTTGTGCTGCAGCTTTGGGGCTTCATTAAATGCATCTTGTAATGTGTCAACTAAGAGGAATGTGTCGACATTGATATCAAAGCTTCACGGTCATGATGTCCTCCTCTCTAAATCAAACACGACGGGCTGTTCCTCAGTAGGATCTGGGGGTCAGGACTGGCCCAACGGGGATAAGGAGGTGGGTGAGCTTATCCCTGCTGCTCAGTGAGTCTTTGTAAATAAACAAACGCAGAGAGATTACAGACCGTGTTCTGAGGCTCAGTGTGGTAGGAGAGAATGTGTGTGTGTGTGTGTGTGTGTGTGTGTGTGTACCCACCCATTGAAAGGGATTTTCCCAAAACAGTGGATGCAGATGATGTTACAACATGTGGAATTAATCATTTGCGTGAGTTCAATCTCTGACATGAGCGTGGATAAAAGGTATTTGCATTTTGTTCTGTGACTGACTGTTGATTACTTTGTTATCGATTTGAGCTTTCTTTCTGAGTAAGAATAGAGACTTTCCCTGCAGTGACTAATGAAGGATGATGTAACAGTGTTCAACATAATATTTTCCCCCCCACTTGCATATTTTTACTGGCCCTGTAGCCAAAAAAGAAAATAACTCTTTTTTACCCAGAAATTCTGATGATTTATTTATTATTTAAATTTCTAAAACTGTGTTTAACATACCACAGTTGCTGTTATACATGTTTACATTTGATTACTAATATAACTTATTTATTTTAGACAGAAAAAGGTGAGAATAAGAAGCGTGTGCTTCATTGTAAATCATAATAAAAGCCTTGTATTTACAAATGAAGGGATTTTGTTCAGAGGAGTGATAGAGGGCTTTTAATTTGAAACTAAAAAATGAAGTGCTGAGTTAAAAAAACATTCATGTGTGATATATTCCACAAATATAGACATAACTGTTGTGAAAGCTGTAACGTTGCTGAGTCTGTAGGGTGATGACATGCAGGTGCTCTTTAGATACTTCAGGATTTCTGTGCATATTGCACCTTGTGAAGGGCTCGTTGTATGGGTGGAATATAGTCTCAGGAAAACATAAAGCGCAACACTCATTTGGGTTTGTGCAAAATTAAACAGTCTTCACTTAACATATTGCCATGTAAAATAAAAGGATTTTAATTTTGCACAGCTTAGATGATCTCTGAAGACGAATGACATCTTACGTGTTTAACTGAGACCTTATTCCACCCGTGCAACGAGCCCTTCACAAAGTGTGTAATGTTTCTAGTATGACTTTCGACAGATCAGTTGCATCATCGACCCGCCAAATTGTAGATGCTGTTAACGTGGGCACTGAAATGAAAAACAAGAGGTTCACATCACGCACTGCTCAAGTGGCGATGTAGCCTGTTCGCTGACATTTTTTTGAGTACCAGTAACAACGTTGCAAAGATGCTCCCTCTCCGTAACAGGCTAGCAGCTGAGAGGTCATTCCATACTGTTATTATCCATGTGTATTCCAGCAAATCACAATGCACTTTATTGGTCGTGTGATCTCTAATTTCACTCTGATTTGCTGTCACTGGTCCAGACATGCAAGCTTTAAAGCCAGTTTTATTCATTTTACACAGTGGACAAATTAAAACTATCCGGTCTGTCATGTGATGCCACGGGCGTTTTCCCAAAAACTTAAACAGTGAGAGTCCTCTGTAAATCAGTGGATATTTTCTTTCAGTGTAACAACCCCCACAAAATGACTTGATTCGCTGTCAGGTTTTCATCCATTTGGTGGGACAACTTTCTGAAAATCTAAAAGAATGATGATGAAATCATTTTTATCCGCGTTCAACTTAGCTGCTTGGTCACTGTAAGTCTCTAGTGTGCTGCTCTATGAGCCCTGTGATGCGGTAGGTCCGAGTAATTTCTTACCCTGGAAACAGAGCTCTTAGTGGCTTCATGCACCACTAAGCAACATGGGAATGAGCGGGGCCCTGCCTCCAACACTGCATACAGTTCTCTTTACACATCCATGGCTGAACCGTTTGTAATCACCACAAGTTATGAGTTTAGAAACTCACAGTTGATGCAGATGATTTTGATCATAGTGAGGGTGAAGAAGGGCAGTGGGGCCATGTCCACCTTGACGAGCACTGCCGTCAACAGGAAAACCACCAGGATGACCCCCAGGCTGCCAGTGATCCGAAGCTTCTGAGGAATCCTGAAAACAGAGAGAAATGAAATTTAAAACTACTTCAGTCATGTCCGCTTCTACACTACCAGCCTGAGCCTACAGCCGAGAACATTAACCATACCCAATGTGGACACTTTGACTCAAATTTCAGTTAAACAAATATCCAACCGCTTATATTCATTACATAATAGAGAAGTGTTCAAAAAAAGGAAAGGGGCGGCGGTAGAATAACAGGATATATTTTTTAAATCTAACAGTAGAAAGAAGGGAGGGGGACAAGGGAAGGTGGATTATGATTCATTGTTAAACAGAAGTAAAAACAAACATTTTGCAATTAAGGTGGTAAGAGCGTCATTTCTCTTCTGAGGAAGTTGAGGCCCGTCTGTATGTTGTGATTCAGAATGAGTGGCCTCTTCGTTCATCGACTAAAGGAAACAAGTTGTGTGACTTTTGAAAGAAAAAAAAAGAGAACAGACAAAAAAAGGTCAGCAGGAATAAAGTAAGTACAGTGAGGAAGCAGGGGATAGCAAGAGAAAGAGGAGGAGGAGAGATGCCAGGGGAGATGGGGGGAAGTAGAGAAGATAAAATAGCATTCCTGGGTGTGTTTGTGCAGGGAAGAGTCAGCCGTGGTCGGGGTCCACCCCAGATTTCTCTCTATCCGACTCTAATTAAAGCAAACATACTGGTGGCGTGCAGACATACATTCACATAACAGGATCATATTACCTATAGTGGCATGTGGTGAGCAGAAGGGTCGGCAGAAAGAGAGGAAAAAGTAAAAGGTGTCGCCTCAAAAGAGTTCATCCTTTCAATTTACTATTTTCAGTTATCAAATTACATATTTTGCCCTTGAGGCTTTTACTCGGTGCTTCCTGTAGGTGGAGAAATGTACGTTCTAGACACAAGACTGCATGTTACATAAACCTAAAGGGTCAGGTTGTTTTGGTGTGAGCGTGTCAGTGTGGAGCAGGGTGGATACCTCTGGTGCAGGAAGGAGTTGAGGCAGGTGAAAATAAGCAGAGGCACCATGGCGCAGAGTGTCATCACGTTGTTAAACTTAGACTCCAGCACATTGCGAGTATCTCCACCCTCCATGGTCTCATTTTGTGCCTGAGCAGGCTCAGTGGGATCAGCATCCTTCAGCCTGCTCGTGAAGTACTAAAGAGAAAGGATGGAGGAATGCACATTTATTACAATGGTTAGTGGTTCTTGAAACTCAACTGTAACAATAAACAACAATCAAATCAAAATGGAGTCACAAGTTTGTGTCTTATTATATCATTTGAGGAGTGCCGTATAGTTTCACAACCTTTATTTTCTGTAATTTTTTCTATCTATCAATAGTAGTTTCCCGAAGCCCAATGCTGAGAGGTGTTTCTTCTTTTACTTTGGCCCATTTCAACTGAGTGAATGTTAACCAATGCCGAAGTAGAAGGTTGCTTAGATGGAAAATGTTAAGTGATTAAATGATGCACGAATTAATTTACATTACAGAACCCAAAAGTGGCTGAATTTACTCAATTTTGTCTACAAATGCTAATGTGATGCACTTCATGTTAGTCTGCCTGAGAAGCTTTTGCATTTATAGAGTGTGGCCACAGAGTCTGTTTATACCCGTTACTAACATGGCTCTTGGGTGATCTGATCATAAGTGGACGGCACTAAATACAAGTGTAAACGACCACCAAGTGGCATTGTGATCTGAGTGGTTGACCAAAAAGAAGAAATGTCATTAGTCGGCAAGATTTCATTGGTCGCAGGAAATCCAAAGTGTGGGATCATTTTGAGAAGGTGAAGAACGAACCCAAGGTGATATGTAAACTCATCTTCATTGGTCGACTACAAACATGACGTATCATCTGAAACATGGAAGTAGCTACATGCCCATTAGCCCACAACGTCATTAACAGGCAGCTCGCTCAGTGTGTGACGTGCACTTGTAGATAAAATATAGGCCTATATTAATGAAGGTTCATTAGTACGGTTTTGTATTTCTCTGTAATGTAGCACAGTGTTAACAATGTTACTGATACTATTCTTTCTCACACCTTCAACTCAAACCACCAAAATATATCATTTAATCATCACATTAATATCATAAACATCCTGGCGACTAGTCGACTAATGGCCCTAAATGATGACTATTGGTCAACTGGGATCTAGATCGAGATATGAGCCCTCAAACAACTTGCAGAGGTGGTCTAGGACGCATATGACCACATATCTTTTGTGGCGTAAACGCTAATGCGTCCCCAACAAGGACTACATCATCAGCACAGGACACTAGTTGTTTTGGTGAAAGCGACCTAATGCTCTATAACGTGCCCCTTTTACAATGAGTTGGACCAAGTGTTGTGTGACAGTCCATCATTTTGCCCCATGGAATAAGACGTGTTGAATTCAGCGATATCTCCTGCTGTAGTGACACAACTGCTAATGTAACTGTGCACAGGGCACACTGACCTTCAAGCATAAGTGGCATATGCAGTAATGAAATCTGAACACAAGTGGTCAGCTGGAGACGCATGATAGACACAGGTGTGAACAGCGATTTGCCTTGCCTGTCCACTTGTGTTCGAATCACAGAAACACATGTTAATACCAGGTGTAAACAGGTTTATAGCACAGCCACATGTCTGGTCATGTCTTTAAAGCACATCATTATCACAGTGACATTCCAACTTTGTCAGAACATATAAACACTATAAGCTATCTGAGCTCCAACAAAAACATGCCCTAAGGGTGGGTCCAGATCAACTCTTAAGAACAATGGAAGTAAAATTCCACATTTTAAGAAGTTAACCCCTGAAAGCTCAAAAATAATGGCTGGGGATTAGAGAGGCTCTACCACTGCCATGGTAATCCATTCAGCTGAACTCAGGTCAGCCATCCTGAGTGAAACCAGGTGGTTGTAGAGGAAAAGGTAAACAAACAATCTTTGTTTTCTCCACGTTAGGTGACCCTTCCTCCAAATGGAGCCCAACCCTTTAATTAACTAATGACGGACCACACGACCACCAACAAGGCTCTTCCTCTCACGTGCATCTGTCTGCTGATATCAGGATGAACTGCATTTGGCTGCAAATATTCTCACATTCAGAAGATCATAATTGTCTTCAAATGTAGCTCTACTCACCATTGTTGCCGTCATGAAGAAATTCCACGGTAAGAGGGTTCCCAAGCCCAGGATGAAGAAAATGATCCATACTAATTTGTATCTGGGAAAGAGACAAAGGGACGTTCACATGATAGAAGTCAACAAACAGTTTATTCACTGGGTCTCATCCAAATCTCAGTTTGGCACATACTGTAACTAAAACAGAAACTGAAAGCAGTTTATTGACTCTAAAAGGCCTCTATGAGAGTTGAATAAAGTCACAGTTTCCCTCCTTTTAGAAGAGTTTCTCTTACTTGTCCTGAGGTGCGTTGATGGCCGTCATGTTTCTTGTTAGGCAGTTAGAGGCACGTGCTCAGTCAGGGTTCGATCAGGGTGGCACCACGTCTGAAATACACAGATAACAAATATGTTTCCAACGTGGTAAACTTTTAGAGTGTGGCAGGCACCTACGTTTTTATCATCAGCAGCCATATGTGTCCTCTTTCCATATTTAGATATTCTAATGAGCTCGACAGCGTCTGGACCAACATAACGATTAAATAATGGGCTGCATAATGTCATTCGAACAGTGAATAATACAATTAGAGTTAAGACTGTCAGGTTTAGTGTAAAGTCAGCTCTAAATCCTTTGGCAGTGTGCCAGCTCCAGTGATAAAAAACCTCAAACTTTGTGACAGATGCAACTCAGCCTCCTAATTTTTGTGCTGATGTCTAAGAAAAACCAGCCACAAGAGCAATGAGTGGTTAAATGCTCAGGCAAACATTATTCAAAGAAAACTTGCCACTCTACAGTAAAGTTGCATAACAGTTGTGAAACTCACAGGACAACCTTCACATGGGTCAGAAACACATGCTTCTCCTCGCACAGCATTCCTCACAAATGTGCAACAAATTACAAAGTAAATGCGAAAACCCTGACAATTTTCTGCCCCCATTAACCTTTAAAAGAAAACCTTTTACAAACTTACTTACAGCAAAGTTTAATCAGGAACAAAAGACTCCTCTTTCCTCTGGTAAGATGCAAAGCAAAGGCCGAACAAGCTCTGCATGCTTCATTTTATACAATAGGGGTTTAGTGGGTTGACACCCCGCTGTCTGCTGCCCATTGGACCTCCCTCTCTTTGCATCTCAGTGTCCATCCCTCCCTGTTCCTTCTACCTCAAACTCCCATTTGTCCTCCACCCTTCCTACATACTTTCACATTTACATTCCAAGCATGCATGGCGCCCCTTGGCATATAGACATCAACTCCTATATTTCATTTATATTTCATCATTTGAAGTAAATAGTGGAATATTCCTGTGAGAATTGAGCAATCGTGAAAGTCTGAAGTGCTCAGAAAAGGAGCAAATGTAACAGCTAAGAATAAATGATTGTTTTTTTTAATGATGTTGTTCCACAATGTCATTGAGTCTTTTGCCTTTACGTTCCCATCTGTTCCACTCTCCTATTTTTTAATCTATCACGCTCACATCCTCTTAATTTCTCCCTCCATTTCTTCTACTGCCTACTAATTTCTCACTTCATTTCATCCGCTGTTCCTCTGCTGTGCCTCGACCATTATTATCTTCACATGATCTGTTGCTCCCCCGGCTTTTATTGTGCAAGTCATATTTTCTTGTCCTACTTTCTCCCATCACTTCTCTTTCAGTTTTATTCTGCACACATCCCCACCCTTAACATATCAATCACCCTCACTCCCCTCTGTGCTAGCAACTTATCCCGGGACCTGATGGAAGACATGTGCTCAGATAGCTCTGTGACACCTTCTCCAAACAGAATCGTTTTTTTTAAGGCATTTCCTCCTTCAAGAACACAGAACAAATCTGGCATCAAATCAAGCTAAACAACACAAGGCAAAGTTTAGGTGTTCTCAGTAAATACTTAAATCATGAGCACTTACACTCAACAGCTCGCAACAAAATGCACTGATGGGTTGGCCACCCATTGTCATAGGATGATGAAAGTTGTAGAAAGGCCAGAGTTTTTGACCGCAAGTATTGCTTTGGATAAATGCTTTTATGACAGGGTTTCTGTTTCATTTAATCTCATGCATGGGGACGTACACAGGTGACGCGACACACACTATATCTATGATCAACAGGTGGTGATAATGCACCAGCAAGTGCAGCAATGTGTCGACAAAGATAATAGAAAAAGAAGACTGCTCACAACTAAACACGGATGTAAACAATGCAGGTTGCAAATTTCTAACAAAAATCAGATTTGCAAGTGTTTTATGAGGAAGGAAATGCATTGGTCACATCTGTGAGCCCTCAAGGATACACACACACACACAATGTGGTGGTGAGTAAGACTTAATATAACTTGTTTGTTGACAGGAAAACTCCACTGGGGGGCCTTTAAATAAGCTACAATTAGACAGACAATTGAGCAATATCTATCTGCAACAGAAAACCTGACCCAGCTCTACCAGTGCACTCTTGCATCTTGTTGCTGACAGGCATGACATGATGAATCCCATGTGTAGCAGGTCATGAGACCGCTGTCAGTAAGGACAGAGACGGCTCTATATGAAGGAGGGTCTCTCTCTCTCACACACACACACACACACACACACTATAGCCCATTCAGTGGTATGCATCCAAACTATACTGATCGAGCAGAGTCCAACACTGAGAGGGAATAATCTATGAGAAAAGTCTGTATGGCAAGTCAGATGGGACAAATTCAAACCTTACAGCCTGCATTTGTTGAACAAGTCCACATGTGCTTGCTTACATGGAAATTTACCATGAGACCAGGCATACACTGTGTGAATACAAACTAGTGTCCGAACAATAAATTGGCAACTCTATCTGCTGATATTAGCCTGTCATTGATATACGGATATATTTCGGCCAACAGGCAACAAGAGGTTCAAACTCAAAAATGATCAAGATATGTTTAAGGTCATTTACATGTGCTGTCCTTAAAAAATAAATAAATAAATAATCGGTAAATCACCTGTCTTAATTTCTTAGGTCAATATTGTATGGTTTGGGAGTTGGGCCTATGGAGGACAGCATCATCCACTGAGCTCGACACTGTAATTTAAAAGAAAGACAAAGCGGTTTCTTTTTTAGCGACCAAGTTTGTCGTCACCATCACAAAGATTTACCCTCGTCACTGATCTATATCCTCTCATATCTGCTGGGCAGACTGTTGTTATTTTACATTTTTTACTCCACTGGCAATGTTATAAATATCACAAGTTCAAGCGTGTGGGTAAAAAGTGGCAAAACAGTGTTCAGAGTAAGTTATTAATAACTCTCTCTCAAACACATACACACCTTGAAGAGTGCCAGCAGTGTGTCCTGAGTTCTGACAGTTGTGCTACTACAATGCGTAAAGTTAGCGGTTCGTGAGTTGAGTTGGATTCATGTGGTTGGTTAACACATTTTTGCGTTGTTCCTCCCCAACAACAATATCATCATCCAACTTGATGTTTCACTGCAGAAACTGCTGTGCCAATTCAGTAGACACAGCCAAACCTTAATTGGACTCAAAATAAAAAAATTAAAGCATCCCAACAATTCCAAATTAATTCATTTCTTTCAATGCATTCATTTTAATTCTAGGCAATACTTTGAGTCTAAACGCCAACGTAGGTGTCAGTATCGAACTTGTCCTGTGTGGCCTCTCCGATGGACTTTTGCCTTCACAATGTCTCGACCAGTTTGAACAGCTGTTTGAGAAACAACGGTCAAACTCTATCATGGCCAGTGAAATTACAAACACCAGTACAAGTCACATTTTAAAACATACTGGCTCAGCCATGTCCCAGATTCCTGTAAAGTATGCCTCTCTCAACCTAACATGTCATCAAACCGAGCCAGCTGGCATGAGTTGCCTGCTTTTGAAAAGTTGCCCACCACACACACACAGAGTCACACAGGCACTTTGCAGTCTGTAGAGTGGTACAAAACTCCAGTTTGGCACCGGTGTGACACTTTAACTAGCCGGCCTCTCAGCGACATCCAACTCCAACAATCAGCACTCCAATGGAAAAAAGATTTAACAGGAGTGGCAGTAATTTATTGTTTCCTCCTCTAATGTCATGGTAAAGAATATAGATCCAATCTCGCCAAAGAGGGGCCAGTTTGGACTAGTCCGCTTGCCATGGTCACAATTGTGTGCAAAATTTTAATTATGCAACTTGTAAACGTGGTCACATGATGTTATGATTTGCTAAATTTATATTCCCTGCTCAGGGCTTCTTCGTAGATGCTCTGATTTCCACAAGCATCTGCTGTTGGTCAGATGATTTTTGAACTCTAATCCACCCGTGTGTTAGGTAAAACCTCTGCACAAAGCTCCAAGTCTTTTTTTTAAGTAAAGTGTGTGCATTTTATTATTAATAATAGGTTGGCTGTTCATTCTGTGATGATAAAAATTTAACCTCTGTTTCCTTTTTTTTTCTTTTCAAGGCACAAACTATATCCAGAATATAAGGAGGAGAAGGAATCTGTGCTCCTCTGTTTAAAACAGGACCAATGCTATTGCCACCAAGAAATAAATTAGCTGTGTTTCCCATATTCAGGCTTATTAGGGCAGCTTTTGACATCTAATTATTTCAAAGCTCAACAGACGTGGATGGATTTTGCTTTGTAGTGTTGGTGTCAGATGTTGGATCTCTCCATAAGCATGGGAATCTACACACTCATCACACTCACTGTGGATCTCATCCACATTACTCCCAGTGGAGCTCACTGCGCCACTGGAAATTAAGTAAAAGAAGCGGCTGAAAACACCTCTTGTATCACTGATAACATCCATCTGTAGCTCTCCCCAGGCCACCAGTCGAGATATCAGTGACAGGAATTGGAGTGCAAAAGGAAGTGGACATAACACAGTGGGAGAAAACCACAGAAAAAAATCATTAAAGCTGAATGTTTTAAATGTGACCTATATCTGACACACAGAGGTAAATCTTAATAGAAAAGGACAGGAGTGCATTTTTTTTTTGTCTCACCAGCATACCTCTCTAACAGGGTCGGCTTTATTCCCAGGCTGACACGCAGAATAGTTTGATGCTGGTCATATGATGAGGCAAAGGAAGAATAACCCTTTGCTCAAGGTCATTTCCCAGCATTCATGGATGGGAACACTCTTATTAGTCATAATGCTTCCTCTGCCATGTATTAAACTTGAATGCCATTCTTAGGAAGGCTTGCCATGGGTTATTGTATTAAGTATCAGTGAATCTCGTCAAGAGTTACAAAAATGTTCAAATCTTCATAATGTACACCTCTGAATGAAGCTTAAACTATCACCAAAGCCAGGCCTCCTCAACCTTAAGATCTGCTGGTTTCCATTTAAGCAATCTAATTAAAGATTATGTCACACATTGGATCCAAGTTGAATGCGGTTAACTTCATTTA